GGAGAAAGGAGAATGTGCGTGATTTTGGAACAATGCCAACGTTCTAAACACAGGAATGCATAGAAATACGTGCTACGAACGCAGGTAATCTTGTGAGCACATGAAAGCGTGATAACAGAAATATATTTAAGAACTGTTCTAATTTGAGAAAAATACACAGAGTGTCTCTGTGTTTCACTCCCATGCGCATGAAATAAAAACTTAAATACGGAAATAAAAACAGAAACGCGGAAAAATGCAAGCTTGCAGATTGCTAAAGCAGGTAAGCTACACTATTTTTGAAGAACCTTATTTATCGTTGGCAAAAGAGCTGACACGTATTGTGTAGAGAAAAATCTGCTAAACAGCTCGACCTGCTGCCCCCCTCCCCCTGAAAGACACAGTCATTCATAGAATTAATGAAATGAAGGATTATATCAAAAGTACACTGATAGAGCGCATTAAGATGAGCAGATGTTTTTCACTGCAATTAGATGAGTCTGTAGTGGATTTGGCCAATTTGCTCGTTTACGTTAGATACGAGTTTGAGGGTATGTCCATGAAGACTTCCGGTTCTGTAAACCGCTACCAACAGGAACTACAGGAGAGCACATATTTCAGCTTCTGAATGAATTTATCGAAGAAAATGGCATCGATTGGATAAAATGCGTTTGTACAGACGGTGCTAGAGCAATGACAAGCCGACACAGCGGTGTAGTTGCACGAATTAGAGAGGTTGCCCCAGAAATTAATGTACGCATTACAACATCCACCGCGAGACCTTTGCTGTCAAGAAAATGACTGACGATTTAATATCTGTTAGACTCTGTTGTGAATTGTATCAAGGCTCGAAAAATTAATTCACATCTGCTTTGCTCAACTAAACAGGCTCACCCCTCTCACTGAAATGGTGCTTTTTTATTAGTTGTTGTTAATGTTTTTTTTCTGTAAAACACTTTGAGAAGCTACCTTTAAAGGCGCTATATCAAATAAAGTTTATTATTATAATATTTATTATATGTATATGAGTGCGTGTGCACGCGCGCTCATGTTGGTCATTGAGAATGTCTGGGGTTCCTATAAGATGATGACTTGTAGGTGGTACTTGGATGCTTTGGTTGGATTAGGGGTGGTACTTGGTCCAAAAGGTTTGAGAACCACTGGTCTAAAATATTTTGCATAAAGAGACCATCAATGAAACAGACCTCAAGTTTAGATTGGATATCGCAGTAGGTGTCCAAACTGTTGACTTTTTAGAATTTCCCTGAGAGGAGGGTCAAACTGAAGTAGTAAACACATTCTTATGCATTAACACAAACTCATCTGCTAACACAGATGCTAGTAAGACCAAGGTAACTTTCTGCTAAATTAAATAAGCTACTAATATCTCCTAATATTGTGATTGCTATACATGTGTGTTATACCAGTGATGTGGGTGCTGGGATTACTTACAAGTTCAGTTTTAGAATTTTCAAATTGAAAAAAATATGCATGTACTATGTTGAAGTTAGTGTTTCTACAATAAATCTAATTCACATTTTTATTTATTCATAGTGTTACATATTGTTAAGTCACACTGTTATACTGACTATATACTGCAATGAAGAAAAAAATCACTTTTTTCTTCCAATCAAGTTGTTAAACCACTTTCTCAAAACTCGCAGTGGAGGTGTAATGTAACACTGTGTGATGTAGTTTTGAAATGTCGGCCACATGAATTGAATACGAGAACAAAGACTACAATTTCCGACACACTACACACGCGAATTACATGAAGTCAAGTCATATCCACAGATATCCCGAAACAAGTGTGATCGGTATACCATATAAAAATACCGTATATAAAGTACGATACACACAGTTTTAAAGCCACTATAGTATGTAGTGTGAAATATTTTGTAATAATCAAAATTAAGTAAAATTGTTTCCTGATTACGTGCTCCTGAAATTTGGATTAAAACAAAATACAGATTTTAATGTAAATTTAAACCTGAAAGAAGCACACTGTGTTCACAAGCTTTAATAATAAACTATTTTATTTATCCAACTGAGTAATTTTGTTTTTGTAAAATAGCCTTTTTATTTAATTTAATATTTCACATACTGTAATATACAGTAGAAAAGTAATAAAAGTCTCAACAATATACAACTTTAATTCTACAATCTTATCTTACTCTTCAGTGTGGAATTAACCTCTTCTGGTTCACTGTGCACTGTGATATTAGTGTGATGAGCTGTGATATTTTTAACATAGTATTTGAGAAAGTTTTTTTATGTGTATTTTATCCTGGATTGCAATTTGCAAATGGGTAGAAATTGTTATTGTATCCTGGCCTAGAATAAACATTAAATACAAGCAGCACACTCCATGATCTGGATTGACTGCACTGTTTGTCAACTTTAAACACAGGAAATCTAACATCAATGGCACGCTAGGTAACACAGCTAAAAAAAACAGTGGTTATTTACACATTATTCAAATAAATAAGAAAAACACTCAAAAAGTACATAAATGATACTAACTGACTAAAGAGTTATAAACTTTAAAAGAAAAAATGATTAAAAAGATTGCTTTTTTTAAAGATCACTAAAGAAACAATAAAGTTGTCCCCAACAAGTAGCCAGGTTGTCACTACAATGCAAAAAAAATAATTCCAACAAGGTAGCAAACTACAGCCGGTATGCTGAACTTAAATGATCTCCCTTTAGATAGAACAACAGACTAACTGTCTTAAGCAGTGATAGGGATATTAAATTCTCAATAGATACAATAGTAATTTCGGATCCTAAGGTATTTTTAACTCCCCCACCCATATACCCTTGTATAAGAACGTTCAGTATACGAATTTTCACTAATCCAAACGTGAAGAATTTGTACCATATAATTTGTTATAAGAACGAAACAACTACATTTTGCTATTCCGAACTTTGAAGTTTGAAAGTGACGGATTTTGGCAGAGAATCTTTGCAAACAGTTGAATTTAGCGCCACCGAACAGCTGCTTGTTTCTGTGTGTGCGCAAGGCATTGTGCTTAAGGATGCCATAAGGCAGCAGTGCTTTGATTATAATCATAGCAAAAGCTTGTGCTCTCATTTTCAAAGTGATTTTTTTGTGTTTGTTTTGTAGTTGCTGTTCATTATGGGCCCTTAGGAAGAGTTTGCTTGTTTCATGTATTATATTTAATTCTGACTAAGATTTTTTATTTTTTGTCAATTTCTTTAGCGTAATAGTCGACAACAGTATGCAGATCGTTCTAGCTGTTCGCTTGAAAAAAAATGTAAATGTATCATTAATTATTTTACAGCCATATTTGGCTTACTTGAGTAGAACTGAGTTGTTCACTAAACTTGCTATAATGGTCTGAATGGTATTATATGTTTAGATTGGTTTTTAAGTAAACTTGTCTTTGCTTCGGAATGGGGTGGAATTTCCCCCATAAGAAATAATGGAATTTTTATTTTCAATTTATGATCTTCCGCCTTCCGAACAGATTTTCAGGAACGAATCAGGTTAATATATCGGGTTATGAGTGTAGACAGCAAATTTACAAGATGATTGGAGCAGTCCACAGTGGAAAATCCAGTTTTAAATTCATAAACCTAAGACATAAGTTGCAAGACAGCAGTTGAACAATACCAATTCAACTTCAGCCTTATGTGGATTTCCATCTTTTTTCTAAGTGATCCTTAGATTTCCTGTAGTGACATCCAATGTATATGTCCCCTAGTGCAAAGCCCTGCTTACCTTGCTGGACACCCTCCAGAACTGGCGCTCGGCCATACCGTGCAGCTCTATCAGAATCTGACGGATCTGCCAAGGGTCCAGGGAAAGAATCAGCTGATGTTTCAGCTGGCCTATCGTCACACTGGCTGAGGCTAAGGAAGAGAAAATATTACACTCAACTATAGTGTCCTTTAGAACAAAAACATTGATACACCAATGTATAGTCACTTAATAGGGTGTTGGAATATACATTATAGCAGAGATCAGTGTGATGCTGCCTGAAATGAACCACACATAAAAGGTTTGTGTACTTTACACACTGTATCTGGGAATTGCACTGCTGCAGCACAGACCTGGAATGTCATAAAAAGAAGGCAATGGTTTGGTGCACAAGCTGACAGTAGAGGACTTCTTCCTCATCTGGTCAAGAAGGGTCTTCCTCTCCTCGTCTTTCAGCAGCACCATGAAGAGCTCATGAGAAGAAACCATGAACACGAGCTGAAGATCCTCTAGGCTCTCACACAGACTCCTGGAAAAGACAGAAGAAATTGTGAAACATGTGCAGGGCTATTCACACTGTAGAGTTCGTTTCTAAAGCACCTCTTATCCAAATAATACTGAATCAACATCCTGTTCTCTCTTTTAGATCACATACCACCAGAGCAGATTATTGCTTCTGCTGGGCTATCAAATAGTGCCACTCAGATATTTAAAACTCTACTTTAAATTTTAAACAAATTATGAAAACAAAATACAGCTAAAACTGTATGATTTCCACAAATAAAGGGTTTGCACCCCAAACCCAATTTATAATCTGGGGTTAAAATGTAAGTAAACCAACATAAGGGTTTATGGTTTAACATTCTTACACATATTAGACCTTCACCAAGTCCTCACCAAGTCTCAATAAAAGATAAAACTAACGTCCTTTGACAACACACAAAAATTCTACTTTGAAATGATTATTTAAAAAAAAATCATGCAGCATTCAATATCCTTTTTTGGGAAAAAGTATGTGTACCCTTTAGTTCTGTGACACCTGTCAGATATCTTGAATTATTTTTTTTCTGTAATAGCTGATCAGTCTCTTACATCGCCTGGGAGGAATGCTAGCGCATGTCTTTACAGATATGCTTCAATTTAGTGATGTTTGACTTCAGATGAGACGTAAAACCAAGGTCCTGACTCTCTGTGGTCATTAAAAATCCCAGGGCGTTACTCAAAAAGAGTAGGGGTGTAACTCCGGCGTTCTGGCCAAATTTCCCATTGGCTTTTACCAGTCGGTCTCCTAATAATCCCCATCTATGAACTGGCTTCATTACTCTGCTCTCCTCCCCACTGATAGCTAATGTGTGGTGAGAGTACTGCTGCACTATGGCTGCCGTTGCATCATCCAGGTGGGATTCCCATTACATGTAAAGTGGTTTGAGTGGAGTGTCCAGTATAAAGCTATATAAGTGTAAGGAATTATTATTATTAATAGGTTTATCAGATGGTTTCTAATTTTCCTAAAAATACATGTTGTTACCTGAAGAATTAAAACTCACAGCAAAATGACAATATTTAAAGTATTTCTATGTTCTCCACCTTTGTAAACTTAAAATTCAAGTTACACAGTTACATAAACAAAGCAGTGGTGAACAAATAACAAGCATAACTGGTTATAATTGGTTTCAACCTACTTTAAAAAAGCTGCCATGTTCCTTTTTGAAGCCTCAGATGCATGGTCCTTATCTAATGACCGTGTGCACACCTAAAAAAAAAAAATAGAAATATAGTACTTCAGTGGCTCAAGTAGTAAAGGTCCTTGTCAAGGTGCAGGCTGAGGTCTGTGTTCACAGGTTTAAGCATGAATAGCAGCAAGGCCCAGAATCCATTGCTCAGAGGGCCTAGACCAGGGGTCTCCAACCTTTTTTCCTTGAGGGCCAAATTTGCTTCTGAAGACAGGCCAGAGGGCCAGACAGTGGGAGGGTAGGTAGACAGGGAGATTTTATGTAATAAACAACACAATTTACACATAATAAATTTGATGAAAACACATATGTTATATATTGTAATATTCAAATTAACAAAAATAACTAAAATAAATATTCATATACATGTGTACAAATTTAATGTGATATTTGGAATTGCTTCTGTGACAGAATGTCCTCAAATTCTGGTTCAAACTTTGTTGCCCCCAGAATCAAAACCTGCTTAAAGTGGTCAACAGAGTGATGTTTGATATTTAGATTTAACATATTTCTTCTTTGAAAATGTTTGTTCACACAAATATGTGGAGTCAAAGACAGAAAACATTTCACGAGCAAATTTTCTAATGTTCTTACAACTCTCTTCAGGCAGTGATTTATAGAAGTTTAATAAATCCTTTTCCTTAAACAGATCCCTATACAAGTCATTCGCAGCCAGGTCTTACTGTGAGCTGCAACTCAGGCTGAAGATCTTCACTTGCAAAAGGGGTCTGGAATCTTATGTTCTCTGATACTGTCAAAATCTTGAAAACGGTCCTGAAATTGCTACTTCAAATGTGAAATCACGATTAAAGCGAACGGAATCGAAAAAGGCTCGATACATTCATTTCTGTACTTTTAGCAAGCTGCAAAATGAACAAAATTGTGAGCTGCCACTTGTTTTTAAAAAAGAATTAATTTTGTCCAAAGGATTTTACAATATACTTTAGTTTTGCTAATCCACCGAACCTCACGCCCGGATATTCACTCTCAATTTCAGATAGGAAGTTTTTAAACTGACGATGATTAAGGGATGACAATCGTATAAAATTCACTGTCTTCATAACTTCATAACTAATATCCATATTTTCTTCAACTGCAGAGAAATGTTAATTCCCAGGTCTTCTGTGCAATGAGCAATTGTATTAGCTGACAGACTTATTTGCTCAAACAAAGCAACCTTTTCTGGACGTAGTTCATCAGCAGATTTCATAATACAAGTTTTTATATACTGCCTATCAGTAAATGGTTACCCTATGACATGGACCTCACCCTTACAATGGATTCTGATTGTTGTGATCACTTTGCGACTATTTCATGCTGATAAATTTTTTTTCCAGTGTTTCTCCTTTATCTGAACGCATTTTGCCAGTCATATTTGAGTACTTCTGTGCTTCATATCGTAATGCCTTCGGATATTATACTCCTTGAGAACAGTGACAATTTCTCTGCATATTAAGCACAACGCCTTGTTATTGCTTTCAATCACAAAATAGTTTTCAATTTGCTTCTTATTGAAAACACGGCACTCTTCATCAACTTTTCTCTTCTCAGCTTCTGACATTTTGATGTAAAATAAATAAACAATGCAAGAAAACTCAAGAACAACAAACAAGTAAACCTAAAAATAAAGGTTATTTGACTGCTTCAACACTTGCATGTAAGCATGCAGTGGTGGTGCTGTCCTATGTTCTCGGGCCGGATAAAAATACATCGGGCCATGGGTTGGAGACCCTTGGTCTAGACTAATAAGCTATCTCTTGCCTTGAATGAATCCAGGAAATGGTGAACATACTGTACCAAACCAGCACCTTAAGGAATGTTACTTTAGCAGGACTTCATAACCAGCATGCCCTGGCAATCTAATACCCAAGAGAGGCCACTAAACTGGGTTCATCCTGATACATAATTGTCCGTAATTCCATTATTGATTTATTTTACCATTAATCACTATTCACAATGATGATACCTAAAAGCTATTGCACCACATTCTGTGTTTCTCTTCAAGGTACTGGAACCTGACAACAAACGTATGTCCAACAAGAGAAAAGTACACAAGCTGAATGAAACTAAGGTACCAAGAGAGATCAAAGATCAACTTCAAACAGAATTCTTCACAAAGCTTCTCCAGAAACTAGAGATGTTTTGTAATATTCTCAGTTGTGATTTCACCTTATTACTGAATTACACAGGAAGGCATTCAAAAAACATTCCCCCATATATATTTCAATAAGCATCTGGTTCCCCCCAGTCTAGACCTCGTGCATGCCTTCTCTGGAAGAAGCCAACCTCAATGAAGGGCATTTCTCTCTGTGTGGCGACAGAAGGGCTTCTTGGTACAAAGCCCAATGGATCCAGCTGTCAAATCTCATTTGGAATCCCCTGTCCACACAAGTTAAAATGATAACTCATATTATAAGTTATTTCACATGAGTATATATTTAAGAGCACTGATTAATAACAGTAAGGGTGCATTTTCTTCTCCTTGAGCTTTTAACAATATTTGTTTTGAGACTTCAAGGTTAGTCAACTTTGAATTGCACAAATGAAAAGTCAGTCAGATTACAGCCAACGATCACTTCCATGCATTAGTTAGCACTTGCAACACCTATGTGATTGATCAGCCATTTGTATCACATCCTGATTCACACCCTTTACACAACAGCCACATTTCATTATTTAATAAACAGTACTTAGAATAGCTGTCTACATCACTAATTGCTTTATCAGAGTTATTCCTAGTAGCCATTAAAGTACAGGTAAAAGTAATCATGAAGGTTCAGTGCAGAAAATCTTCACTAATTATTGCAAAATTCATATATAACCAAGTCCCCCATATACCAGCCCATAATATACTACAGTACATTATGCACATACACTTAAAATACTTATTTGATCATTAATAATTAAATAAATCCTGTATATGATCATTAGAATACTAATGCATTGCCTTTAAGTTAATTAAAATAACACTGATCAGATGTGACGAGGATCCTCAAACAACTGCACGCTACTGTCTGAGTACCACAGAGGGAAGGGTAAGAATAGTTGGTCACAGATGTCTCAGCTAAGCAACACAGTGACCCCTGCAACCACTTGCACTTGCAAACAAGCAGCATCCTGTTTACGAAAGATATGCTTCTCCTCCAGTTAGAGCTAAACCTCTGGATTGAGGCAGTATTAACTCTGAAGTGTGAAAAGATGAGTGCCTTGAAGGAGTTTGGGTCAAAGGAATATACCTATGCTTCCTTATTCTCCCTTTCTTGGTCCGTTTGTGGCATTCATAGCTACAAGCCAAGAGGTAAAAAAAACTTGGGAAGGTATACAAAAAATAATAAGCAATTCTAATTTTTTTTATAAGACATTCACAATGTTATTAGAAGCATTAATGATTTATGCCTTCTCCAAAGTTAAAGTAATTCTAATTTGAGTGATGCAGAAAATTAAAACATGCATAATCAACAAAAACAGTGCCCTGCAAAACTATGCATGCCTGTCCAATTACATCCCATTTTGTTGGATTACAAATAAAAATATTCACTTTAAAAAAGTGTAAATATTATAAAAAATTCAACATCAGTGCAAACAATAACTTTTATCTCCCTAATTCACCCACTGATTTTCTATATTGTTTAAAGACAATCATCATCTGTATTTTTATTTTTCTTCTTGCTTCAAAAACGTCGGCTCATCTTGTATGATTCAATACTATTTACGCTTTAATGATCATTGCAATTCTCAGTTTTCCATTAAAATGCTTTGAAACAGGCTTCCAAAAAGAAATGAATGAGAGGGAAACCAAATGTTTAACCAACTGGACACTTAATCTGATTCTTTCACTATTTGAAAACGGCACTGTCAGCCGTGCACTAAATGCAAGATGGACACTCCTCATTTTGCATTAGTTTGAATAGGCCAGCAAGGTTCATAGACCACCTGTATTCTCCCATCACCACCAGTTGATAAGAAAAAAAAACAGAGATGCAGACTGAAATAAAGGCATCTTAGTACGCGACTTCACAAAAAGAAGTAATTGTGACTTCAGCACCACATATATTGCAAGGTTAATTTAAATCCATATTCCTTACCTCCAATAAAAAGTCAATTTTGTCTTTGTTGGGTTTCAGAAGAAATTGCCTAAAACGGACACTGATGACCTGTCCCTCCAATGCGTCACGCACAGCGTTGCAGGCACACAGCTTGTAACATATTTCATCTGCTGCTCTGTCCCTGTGCACATAGTACAATACATACAGAAAAAAAACAAACATTCATTTTTTAAAAATTGATTTATATAATTTAATTTTGAGCTCTTTATTTTTTCATTTTTATTTAACTTGCATAATTATAGAGCACTGGATTCCTGGCTTTGGTTGTATAAAATTTCTTAGGTACAAAATACTACTAATAGTAACTGTAGTTAACTTCACTTAATTCTGACATTGTTTTGCAAAAGTAACTTGTAGATACTTTGTATAGAACTCAAACTCATGAAACATGAGAAAAAGAGAAAACATCATAGTGAATTTTATGAAACCTGCACTAGGTCCCTGAATCCTAAATTCTAAACCTTAACAGTTTCTAGGCCAGCAGTAGTTCTATATATTACTGCATTCAACAGTTCAGCATTAAAAAAAGACAATATAAACTAAAATGTATAATTTAATTACAACTTTTTCAGAACAGTGTATTAAATTGGAATTTGATATATTACAAATAATCCACATCACAAATATAAACTACATGAAAAGTATAAAATGCTACTTCTTTTTATACTTCCTCAGCACAGAAACCTATCACACAAAATTTCTTCTGCTTTAACTAAATGTTGGTCAGAAATCAGGTAAACCCTAAACACCTGAGAATGATCTTCACTGCTTTATTCATTCAACATCTAAATTGCAATATTTCAAAATTCTTCAATATTTAGAAGAACTAACAGTACTAAGAAAAGGAGCGCAACAACAAAGTTCAGAAGTAAGGCTTAAAAATGTTAAGGGAGATTCTTCACATTGTATCCAATGAAAAGGAGAAATTAATTTATACAAGTGAAACAATCCGCTACCTGGCTAAGTGAACCTTCTGAAAGCATAAGATGATTTAAATGATCTAAAAACGAATACATAAAAGAAGAGGCTAATTGTCCCATCTAGCTTGTTTGGTTTCCAGTGATATTAGATCCAGTCCAGCCATATCTTTAAGACACTTAAAGACATTTCATTGCCAGCAAGTACTGCTGCATGCTGTATTGTTGTACATTTGATCAACTTTGATTAATAAGCAGGTGTCGGCCTCAACGACGTGGCTGGATAGCAGAATCCAGACTCCCAGAGATCACATCCTGGGCGCCGTTATCACCTGGGCATTAATATTAATTCCCATTTCAATGTACCCAGAGGTTCACAATTATGAACTGCAGATACACAGTGGTCTTGTCTGTCCCACTTACCCCTGCTGAGCTTTGTGAACAAATTCCCTCAGGACAGACTGTCTGAAATAACTGGGCAAGCTGAAGGTGATGTTGTCCTTCACAAAACATTCAATCAGACCCTAGATGAGAAAGAGACACATGAGAGTAATCTCAGGAATGATATCTCGGAAAACACCTTGTATGGTATTTTGATATTTCTTTCTGTTGTCAGTAGTAAAGACATCCGATTTACACAAAGAATTTATACATTACAATAGGGTCATGACATCAATAGCTAAGTTTGCATATAACCTAGTCCACTCCCTCTCTCTGCCTGGAATGAAAAGAGCGATAAAACTGTCAGCGAGCCTGTAAAATCGTATCTGGCCTGTCATTCCCCACATTACTGACACAGAACCTTTCGATAGACCACACTGAGATGCAGATCCTGGGTAGTGGGTACTGGGGCAGGGGGGAGAAAAAGACTCACTCACTAACTAGACTGGTTACACAACCCTAGTCTGTTGCTCCGCTAATTTGACAGTTGCACTTAACCTTTGACTTGGTTTCATCTTGCTCTGCTCTTCCATCAAAACCCTGCTCGTCAGACCAAATCATGAATAAGCAAATTTGCAAATGTTAAATTCACATTTGTTGAGACCCTACTGTACTTGGGTAAGCTTTTTTTCTGTAGAAACATATTTAATGATAATAATTCCTTACACTATCTGTGGAGAGGAGAACAGAGTGATGAAGCCAAATCACAGATGGGGATTATTAGGAGGCCATGATTGGTATAGGCCAATGGGAAAATTTGGCCAGGACACTACTCTTTTTGAGAAACGACCTGGGATTTTTTAATGACCACAGATAGTCAGTTTTATATCTCCTAAAAAGAGGCGTGAAGGAGGGTGCCTTTTTTACAGTACAGTGTCCCTGTCACGATACTGAGGCATTAAGGCATTAACCTGTTTAGGCCTAAGCCCTTCCTCTAAGTCCAAACTTCTGTGACGTAGCGCAGGTGTGGACTTCAAATGCAAGAGTATCCGAGGGTGCATCGTTAGAAAAAAGTAATGAGACATCTTCGTGCTTTTAAAGCTTTATATCAAAACTTTGTACCAAGAATACATACAGTATGAATCTAAAGTGAAAATTAGTTTTACAAAACTGTAAAAAAGTTAGATTTTTCGAATACGCAAATATTTAACTCTCTATGGCAACTTCTCTCTGCTTTGATATGCTACAACAATAAACATCCCAATTTCACGAGGAATTGGGGGTAATTCTCTTCAGCGGAGTCTGCTCTGATGTGGACTTTAGGGAAGGGCACCCTTGATCAACACAAATTGAGAAATCAGTCATCTCAAGGACTTGCAGACTTGAGCAAGAACACGCATCTGCAGGGCGCAAGACTGCAAGTGTGCATATTGAGAAACTCCTTTTTCCATACAGCAAGCAATGAAGCAGAGGTATACAAGTACAACCAGGCTAAAGCTCAGTCCTTCAGAAGGGTTCCTACCTCAAAATTTCCAGACTTGATAAAGCTGTGTATCTGAGTATATAAAGGCATTTGGGTGCCGCCGATATCTGAGGAGCCTGTGAGAACCCCACAGGCATTCCAGTACCCAGCCAGCCTTTTCTCATCAATCCTGCAGTGCAGGGCTCTGCCATCAAACTGTGGGAGAACAGTCACAGCTATTGCATTCAGGTTAAATACTTTAACATGATTAAGTAGATAAAAAATGCTTGGGAGCATGAAAGCACAGTATTTTACAAAATCTTTCTACTTCTCCAAAACCATAAATTATGATAACTCACAGAAACGTTTTCTCTTTCTCCTTTAAATATTAAATTGAAACCAAATTGTTTATTATTGCAAGGAATTAAGCACAAAAGGAGTTTTCAATTCAGGTTATATACCTCTTTTTGATCCAAAGTCCAATGTTTTTCAAAGTCATTTAACACATTAGTCTATCAAGAATCTTACTCTGTAGAACTGACAAGATAAGAAATTCTGGACATCAAATTTAAAATTTCCTTTGCAAAATCAGGATTCCATACAAATAATACAAAAACTGCACAAATACTGTGACTTTTAGATAATTAAAACCATAGAGTTATGTATATTTATAACATGCTAACAGGCCACCAAAAAGAACAATGGGTTTGATAATGGACTACACTGGATATGTGGGTATTGTTTGGACACTGTAATTTGCTAGAACTGCCATTTAGTAATTTCCTTAAAGTATTTGTTGTCACACTGTAACTAACTCTCCCTAACACATTGTGTTCAGCTGAGGAGAAAGGCCATCATAAGGAGCTCTCTGAGCTCAAGAGCTTTAGAGTTCTCCGAATTGATAGCTGAATGCTGTAAACTGTAAAGGTTTTCAATGCTCAGAGTAAAAAAAAAACACCCTGCAAGGGGTTTTATTTTCACCACCAGAGGGTACCTCTACCGCAACATTATTTGCGCCAGGATAATTTACCCGAGAAAAGGTGAACATGATGCATACCATCAGTGAGAGCTTGAGGCACATATAAGGATATGCCTTTAGGAACTGTATTGTCACTTACCTTTGCAAGACATTCCCTTGTTTTTAAGAAATGCTCTCTGGCCTTTTCATAGGCCAGGGGGTCTGAACTACCTTGCTGAAAGAAGACAGCTCCCAAATCATAATGAACCTGTAAGAGAGAGAAATGGTTCTATTTACATAAAAAATTAAAATGTAACCATTGTTGAGAGATCTGAAAGTTTATTAGTAAATACACTGTGAACCAAGTAAATCTCTTCCCACCTTGGGATCTCAATTTCAAGAAATCAGTCCTATCAGAAAGAGATTTGGCATTAACAGAAGAAAACTCATTTAGCACTTAAATTGCAATGTGTGGACAATGAGGTAGAAATGTATACAAAATCCTACAATTTTAACAAGAGGAGGTCTTTTCCTTGTTCATGGTTCTTACATCTGCCACCATGTTCTGCACTCAATAATAAAATGTTTTTTCTACACAAACACTTAAGCATGCTAAAAATCAGTCAACACTGCCTGATTGTCACACATTGATCTGAAATGTTCAATCATACTTTTTAAATTCTGCAATTTCCCTCACGGGATCAATAAACAATTTATCTATCTAAAGGTGGAAATGAGAAGGCGTATACGAACTCCTAAACTATCCCTATTTGGTTGAAGGGCCTGTTCAGCACATTGGCACCTAATGGGGTTGTCTCTTCCTACAGATAGAGGAGCAAGCAATCATGACCTCAAACTCGAAGACAATGCACGCCAGGTTACCTGACAATGCAGTTCATCAGCACTGATCTTTAATCCTGCGGTAGAGCACTCTGTCTCTCCATTGGCAGTGCAGGACTCGGCTGCCAGCAGGTCCAGCGTCCTCATTGTATGGATATAAAAGTCTTTCTTGATCCCCAGGACGCCCTTCAGAACCATGATTGAGTCATCCGCCTGCTCCTTTAGCTGGGAAAATAAATTGTGGGCGATTAGCTTATGCTGCGACAAAAGGAATTTTTTTAGACTATTATTAAATTAATGTAATTATGTAATTTACAACTAATACTAAACTACACAACTAAATTACACTTTGTGCTTAGGTGGGCAGCAGGAACTGATTGGCTGCCACACAGTATATTCGTCCAGTATAAGAAGCACTTTGAAGTTCTTTGGGACGAAAACAGATATTAATAGAAACAAGTATTAACTTTCTTATAACTCGTAAGAGTCAATAGGGAACCACAGATGAATGTCACACTTTCCAGTAACTCACCACTTTTAAAATGTTTTCTGTTAATTCCTTTTCCTGTTGCACATGATTCAGCCTAGATAAAAGGAGACAGCTTTAATCACAAAACCTGAAATGAATTATCACCAACAATTAAAGAATATTAAACACTCACATATTTAACTGGTGAGGTCCAGGTTTAGTTTGCTTTTCAGGGAAGCTGCTCTGCACTATTGTCCTGATAGCCCTGGAGAAGAAAAG